ATTTTGGAATATTATGCGTAAAATAAAATTTGCACAAAATAGAACGACAATCCCGGTCAATTCTTAGTTTAACATGGACAAAATTCACGAGAGCGTGAAACAATTCCTAAAATTTCTGGAATTCTGACACGTGTCGCCTCGTCTCAAGCAAAACAACGATTTCTTTCACGTTCGAACAAAAATAAATTTTTTCGTCTAAATTACTCTCTTTTTTTTTTCTAATTGATTTCACTTCGAACGAGATATTCCTATCTCTAATTATTACAAATTTATTTTCAATAAAATCGTTATTTTTTTATTAAAAATTACTTTCGAATTAACACAATTAAAACTTCAAATCGAAGACCAATTTAAATCTAAAGCAAATATAAATCTCTGTTCGATAGGTTTCAACGCAGCCGATGTATTAAACATTCGATTAACCTCTAGACTGTGCTATTAATTATCGAGCACAAACATTACAATCCATCGACCTCCGTCAAAATGATCAATAAACATTTCGGCACGTGTCATGTCGAGATAAAAGCCAGAAGGATTTCCGCTCCGCTACCACGCCCATCTCTATCATAGCGATTCCTCTTTGGCCCTGAATACTTCACAGGAATCCGTACTGCGGTCACGAATGAACCGCTTGTTACCTGAAAAGCCGAGCTGAGTGTTGCGTGGTAAATTGGACGACAGGTTTCACGTACAGTTTCCTCGGTTACGTAAAATTTCCCGGTGTGAAATGTTCTTGCCTTGTCGGATAGCGCTAAAGCATGGTGTTAAAAAAAAAGATTTTATCGACCGAGGAAGAACAAATGCATTTTGTAGAAAAACATGTCATTTTTTTATTTTTTTTTATTATCAATCTGCGAATGGTGTGATAAGAAAAACGAGGTATTTTGACTCGTCGAGCATTTGCTGCACAAGCTTATAAAAATCTAAAGATCAATTAATATTTCTGAAAATTTTTCTAAACGTAGTATTAAAAAGGATTTTATCGACCGAGGAAGAAGAAATGTATTTTATAGAAAAATGTGTCATTTTTTATTTTTTTTTATTATCAATCTGCGAATGGTGTGATAAGAAAAGCGAGATATTTTGATTCGTCCAGCATTTTCTGCACAAGCTTATAAAAATCTAAAGATCAATTAATATTTCTGAAAATTTTTCTAAACGTTGTGTTAAAAAGGATTTTATCGATCGAGAAAGAAGAAATGCATTTTATAGAAATGTGTCATTTTTCTTTTTTTTTATCAATTTGGATGCAAATAATGTGATGAGAAAAGCGAGGTATTCTGACTAGTCAAGCATTTGCTGTACAAACTAGTTTATAAAAATCCAAAGACCGATCGATTTCTGAGAATTTTTTTAAACGTGGTGTTAAAAAGGATTTTATCGACCGAGGAAGAAGAAATTTTATAGATGTTTACGAAACGTGTCATTTTTTTACCAATTTGGATGTGAATGGTGTAATAAAAACACGAAGTATCTTGACTCAAATATTTACTGCATAGTGGACAAACTAATTTATAAAAATCGAAAGATCAATCGATATTTCTGAGATTTTTCTAAAAATCAATTTTTATAATTCCAATAAATATATATGTCGAATTCTTTCTTCACTCTCTAAGATCAATCAATTAAAATTATCATTTTACTAACTTAAAATTTAAAGAATAGCCTTCAACTCGAAGAGATAATTTTATTTACTTCTTAATTAACCATCAGTTCGTTCGATCGACTGAGAGTAGGGGTGGGAAGAGGAGGGAAGAAGAGAACGTTTACGAGGTGAAAGTAAGCACGACGAGTTCAAAGGTGGCTCAACCACGATACTTATTTCCACTTTTCTCCTGCGATTTTATCGAAGCGTTTAACGGCGGACGATTTACCAGCAAAACACGAGGGAACAATTGTCCGGCACGAAGAAGAAGGAAGGAAATGACACGGACGATTCTTTTACAACTGCTATTCCTGAATTATAGGATCGGGCAATGGCGCATGAAATAGTCTCTGCCACGTTCGTCTCTTCGCCCAATCCAGACTCGCGTATTTCGTTTCGCGACGCTCTTCGCTCGTTGCAAAACTCCTCTGCGATTTTTTTGTCTTAGAAAACACTTTCAGCTCTTCTGACTTTTCGAGATCTAGAAATCTTTGAGGGAAAAGAATCGGTTCGAACGTAACGTTCTATATACAGAAGTTTATCTATTTGTTTATCCATTGTTGTTTTATAGTTTTTGTAATTTTATTCATCGAGAACGGGTCAAGTATGTAAGAATCGAAACGTTACGCGAATATTTATATGTAAAATGAGAATTTTGAGTTGGAACAATTGCGAGGTGAAAGAAATTTGGACAGAATAGTTGAGTTTATCTTTTCAACGAAATTTTGCGTGGAGATTTAAATGAATATCTTTTTCAAATGTTGGAAAATTAGAATAAATGAAAACACGCAGAGAGAGAGAGAGAGAGAGAGAAATGAAAATGAATACGTGAGAGATTGCAGAGATATGACACGAATTTTATCTAGTAAAATTTAAAAAAAAAGAAAATCTACTTTTCCTTTTCTCTAAACTTGTTATGTTTATTAAAAATAACGGAAGATCATATTTCCCGAAATTAAAAACTATTGTAAATTTTATTTTGTTAAAAATATCGAAGGATAAAAAAAATGAGAATCTTGTTAATTATTTATTTCTTAATTATATCAATTAAAAAAAAAAACAAATTAAATAATCGAAGAAATAGGATTTTAAAAATTATGGAAAAGCGGAGCAATCGTCACGTGATCGATGAATCTTTTGTCTTGGGGGATAGAGATGCATCAGGTGCACCTTTTCAGTGAAATAAATGATGACGCGTCAGTCAGATTACGAGAACCGTTTCTGTGGATCATTCGATCAGCGATAGATGTTCTTCTGAATCGATCGATTAGTCGTTAATCAACGTGTCAACGTACGGAAATATTCGTCTCTCTTTAGCCAATGAATAATGTTTGGACGAACTGATTGAACTCGTGTCTTCGTGAATTTTCGACTTTAATACGAAATAACCGAGAAATAAATCTCGAACAGGGAATTTCATAAAATTTGCGACACTTTGATGGGCAATAAAGAAGGTAATATAGGATGTTCGACATAAATAGATTCCTGAATCCTTTCCTGAATGTCTAGTTTTGAAAATACGAAAATAAAGTTTGTAAAATTTTATTGTTTATTTTTTAATTTGATGACGTAACACGAAGTGATTGAATTTCTTTTTTATAATTTAATTATTTATCATTTTACAAAATACACATACAATTCATCTATAAATGTGTATTTATATATTTTTTTTTTTAACGATAACGCAAGATAATTTTTTTAATTAACATTTTTCTTTTCTTTTTTTTTTTTTTGTTTTTAATAAAAAAAGTGAAGGAGTAAAAAAAAAAAAAATATTCCAACTTTATATTTTTTGTACGTGAGGTTGCAAGTTGAACAGGATGGTTTATGGTAGAGTTGCCCTAACGACATGGATGGAAATTTATTATCCCTGTAAAAAAATTTACGACGCTGTTAAAAATAAAATTCGTAACTACATTTCGTACGACTCTTGAAACTTTAATGGTTGATAAGGTAATTGCACGGAATACGAGACAATAACCCAAAATGATCTAGTCATATATAATCCAAACTGATTATCTGTTTCTACAAGTTGTCAAGTTTTTAACATTCTTAATAATTGTTAAAAAAATAAAAACATTGTATCACTTATTTCACAAGGCAATATTTAAACTTATACTTTATACTTCGAAATATAAATTTCACAAAATTATATTTAGATTACTCTGCATATTTTTTATTTTATTTATTTATTTTTTTCATCAATAATATAAAACGATATCCCATCAGAAATTCAAAAGTTTTTTTTTTTAAGCAAAAATACGAGCAATGATCATGTATCTATTTTAATAACATCCAATATACCAAATTATTTCCAATGCAAACAAGCAAATCTGCATCAGTTTCAATCAATCGGATCAAAATTTTCAAAACATTGAGTTAATTGAGTTAAAATGGCTGTCGGTGTCTTCGACGTGCTCTTTAATAGTAATTTCAACCGCATAGTTACCACCAGAAGCGTCAGAAGACCAGATCTGAATTCGTGGAATCGGATTTGCATGCGAGAAACGGTGGAAACTGTTCAAGTGCTCTTTGCACTATACACCGTGGCAAAGTATATGAATTTTTCATCATCCGTTTTCTTTCTTTCGTCTTTGAACAATGTTCAAGCATCATTATGTTCAAGTTTATTAATTCGACGATTCTGCTCGAGCACACCATCCTTTGATCAAAATTTCCAATCGAAATTCTCTTATTTCGGAAAATTTTCTATCGATAAATCGATTCAGAGTTTTTATCGGTTTTGCATTTTTTTAAAGTAATGAGCACCCTTTTATTTTATTTACGAATTGATTGGTCTCTTAGTTGCGGACTAGATGTAGCTTTTTTTAAAGTTTTTCGTTTCAGTTTTGTCCGAAAGGACTGGAAAGAGAATTTTATATAAAGCTATTATTATTATTATATATATATTATGTAAAATTATTATATATGATTAAATCGAATCGAGGATAAATAAATTAAGAGATAAAATAGATGTTTCATAATTAATGAAAATGCAGAATGCAGTTCAGTGTATTTAATTAGAACAAATTAATTTATAACCTCGTTTCGTTTGATTGAATAAATTTATTC